GGCTGCAGTACAGGCATTTAACCACTGCGCCACCAGGGCTGTTATCCAAACCTCAGTGGATAACAAGGGCCCACTGTAATGTTCTTACAACTTCATAACAGTTTCAGATTCACATTTATGATCATGACACCATTGTCACAGTACAAATTCTTCTAACATCCACCCACCCCAAAGCCAGACATCTTACTGAAAAGGAGTTCTGCAGTGCTGACCAAAGTGATGCTGAATAATGATACCTCCAGCCCCCTCCTGCCAATGACCCATAATGTGCCAAGGAATTTCAACAGGACCTTTCAAGGGTCCTAATGTCTGTTCATTATACAGTGGTTCTTTGGTGGGAAGGGCTAGATGCACCCCAATCACCAGGGTCACAGGACCCCTTTGCTTGGTACAGCTTCCAGGCTTTAAAGGTGGGGTTCAGTGGGTCAGATAGGGAGCTTGTGCAATGCTGTGACAGTGTAGCTGTGTGTTCCATACAGGATGTTGGCTATAGCCCCTATCCAGATGGGTGAAGGGACCAGACTTAAAAGCATATTGGACATCCAAAATGCAGCATAGATAAGTTTCTATTGCTCTCACATAACATTATTTATTATTTACTCATTTACTAATTTATTTTATATCACCAATTTCTCCTGATGAAGGACTGAAGATGGCTTGCAAGATGAATTAAATCACAGCACAGCTAAGAATCTGTTCCCGACCGCCCCCCTCCCCCACAAATCAGAAAAACCATAAATATCCAATCCTCATTGGATATAATGGCCATGCACTTTTGCGCAGGGCCCCACACATGTACTATGGACACGCACATCATTTTGTCCCTCCTGGCTTCCCGTCCATGGAAATTCAAGACAGCAAACAGGAATTTCATGAATTGGGAGGGACGACTGTAAAATAATCAGTTACAATGTTGGAAAGCAATAGAAAAAATATTAAAGGAATTATCATATTAAAACCAAGCACTTAATCAAAACTTGTGAAGAAGTTAACAAAATGTACTAAAAATGAGTCCTTTAAAAGAACCTCATACAGAACCTGTTAGTGACCCAAAGTCTACCTGAATAAAAAAAAAGTGGAAGGAAGTTTGACAGTTTAGGAGCAGCCACTAAGAACTCAGAACTCAGGCAGGTTCATATAGGAAGATACAGTCTTTTAGATACTCTGGAACCAAACCGTATTTTGTTCAAATTGGGCTTTAGCTGTGCATATTAATGTATTTTCTTTTGGTATCTGATTTTTTTGGAATTCTCACAAAGAATGAAAAAGTAGGGACTGTATTCTGCTTTCAGGAAGACCAGTGGCTTTTAGCTCATTCCATAATTTTCACTTTCATTTTTTTTGGAGGGTGGGGGGTGGAATCATATATCACTCTGATTAAATGTCTTTTTCTTTTTCCCTTGAAAACATCTCTTGGATGGAAAAAAAAGCAGCACAGAAATCTATTATCTAACAAATGTACAGCAGTTAGAGTTGGCACAAGCTACTATCATTTTAATGGCAGGGACCTCTCTCGTTCTGTTGACTGTGATTGAATCCCATCTTCTGCTTTTATATCATTAAAATGTTCATCCCTGTTTTATGGTTTTTAAGTTGGGCATCATTATGATAGATGAGCTCATTGTTCATTAAGATATATATATATATATATATATAAAGTCATTCTTCTCTGTGTTGTTTATTACTATTAAAACCTTCATGGTAGCATCAGTAAAAAGAGGGGTGGGGGAAGCATTCTTATATTTCCACCTTATTTTTGCCCTCTCCCTTTACTAACATTGACTACTAATGGCAGATAGTTATAAGCATAAGTAAGGCTGGAGTGACTGAACCCTGCAGTGTGGCCTTTATATTCAACAACACACTGTTGCAAGCACAAGAGTTCTATTGTGGGGCTGCATTTTCCTCCATAAAAGCAGAATTACTGTCCCTGTTTGCTTGCCAAAGGTAGTAGGCTTTTAAAAGGCGGGCTGGGGGGGGGGAAGAGAAAGAAAGCAGCCTTCCATATTTTTGTTGTTCATTGTTGTCAATATGCAAGGACCAACTGGTAATAAGTAATAGGCATGACCTGTATGGTTGTACAAGCAGTCTCGAGCTCCTTAGCTTGTTGAATCACTGTGATGTTTGGGGATGTACGTTCTTTGAAGATTACTTCTAAAGAAATGCATTCAAATCCTTAATTCGAGATTCTGTCTATTCCTGTGGTGTTTACATTCCGGTATGGCAGAAGATCACTGGGGGAAAAGAAAAAGGGAAGCTGGAAATGCACTTTAAAAGGGAGGGGGGGATTGTAAAAGCAGGTTGCCTTCAAAGATTCATCCTTCTGCCTCCTTCTCTTTAGTTGCATTCAACAACAGTTAGTGTCCTGTGTAGGACAAGAATATGCAGCAATGTATGACTTACAAGAGTTTGCTGCACTGCTGTTATGTATGGAGCCACAGTGCCAAAACGCTTCACAGCATGCTTGTGATAGGCTCTTCTATTTCAGCAATATCATTTTATATTAAAACAGGTGCAAAGTTTGTGACTCCTGGCTCATTGTGTCTCATCTTTCCACAGCATTTTTACTTGCTGTTCCAAAAACAAAGCTAGAGACATACATTTCATGCATGTACAACATCACAATGCAAAGGCAAAGTTATGTGTAGTTTGCTCACACATTTGTTTTTTTGCTATTAATTTGAGGCATGTGGAAGGTGACTAAAGAGGCTACATAAGTTTGCCTGGGAAGTAGGCCCAGTTCTCCAACAGTTTCAGCCATGCAGTAATATGTTAATGCATTTCAAAATTACTTGTATATTTTCTTTGTTATGTCAATTATATGCAAAGCCATGTTTAGCTTGTGTAGCAACATAATTTAATTTAATAATTTAATAATAATAAAAGGAAGCAACATATAATTTTTAACTCCCTTACAGCTCTGTTCTGCTAGTTAAAGTATTGGTTTTCACCTGAGTTCACCATGAAGCATGCCTTCCAACATTTCACAGATGAAAACTGAGACATAGGTAGCTAAGTGGTATCAGCGGTGGTCAAAGAACAAAAGTTATTAATGCTAAGAAAACAAAGCAAGAAGAGTCTGGAGCAGTTTGATTTTTCCTGATCTTACTAGGAAGAGCAAGATTCCACCATCCTCAAACTACTGTTGTCCCTCCCTGTTCACAGACTGCGGTCTCGCTCTTTGTGGGGAGGGACAACAGCCGTACCTAAAATGGCGACACATGCCATTAGTTTAAATGGGGCTTGAATATTAGTGAGCCGCCATTTTTGCAGAGGGGGGACGGATCCCCCATGAATAGGAAGAGGCAACTGTACTT